CACTTCAAAATGGATGAATAATAAGAAAAGTTATTATCATTGTCCAATAAATACAGAAGAAGGGCAGACTTCAGAGCCGGTCTATTCAGCAGCTCCATAATGTAAGAACTAAGTTTTTTCCATCTCATGCCTCTAATATCCTTGGTGGTGGCTTTATCCTCAAGCCAACAGGAAAATGGCTCTAGCAGTGCTAGCTACCACATCTATACAAAATGCTTAGGAGAAGAAAAATTTTCTCTTCCCAGGCATCTCTCAATAGTGAGGAAACTCCTCCTAATTTCCTACTTCCAGACTTGCCCTCCTCACATGTCATTTGGGTTACAAACCCATTCCTGAAGCAAGGTTAGAGGAAAGTTCATTCCCCTTGCCCATCATATATACCCCTGAAGCTGAGGATAGTGCCAACTTTATTTATCTTAAGCATGAGGCTGTGAGGGACAACACACATCTCAAGAAAGTCGGTTCTCTATTAGGCAAGAAGGCTGAACAGATGCTGAGAAAAGAACCAGCAAACAGTATCCATGAAAGCAAAAGCAAAGAGATGAGAAACTGAAGGGAAATTGTTAAGGGATTTTCACAGAGCACCAACGAACAGGCTGGCTGAAACAAAGGGCAATATGGGGAAATAATAGGAGATACAACTTGAAGAATCACTCAAATAATTATAAATCTGCCTAACTATGTATACAATGGTCCCAAAATACACTGCAAGACCCACAGTGGATGCTTGAAACTGGTTAGTACCAAACCCTATATATACTGTTTTTTCCTATGCATACATACTTATGATAGTTTAATTTATAAATTAGGCACAGTAAGAGATTAACAATAATAATAATAAAATAAAACAACTTTTATAATATACTATAATAAAAGTTATGTGGTCTCTCTCAAAATATTTATTATACTCTACTCACCCTTTCACTTACAGGAAGCACTTTATGGCTCCTCTTTGGCATGTTGGAATTGCCAACATCACTACTCTTGCCCAGAATCAATACTATTGTGCTTTGGGACCATTATTAAGCAAAATAACGGTTACTGCAATCCCACAACAGTTAATCTGATAACTGAGACAGCTACAAAGTGACTAATGGGTGGGTAGTACACACAACATGGATGCGCTGGACAAAGGAATGACTCACGTCTCTGGGTAAAACGGAGCAGGACTGCTCGAAATTTCATCATATATAGCAGGTAATTTAAAATGTATGAATTGTTTATATCTGGAATGTACCATTTAATATTTTCTGACCATGAGTAGCTGAAACCGGAGAAAGCAAAACCACAGATAAAGGGGAGGGAAGGTGTCTCTGTAGGTCATCTCCAGAGACACTGAAATCTAAAACACCCATAACTATAGAATTAGAATCTCTAGGGCAGTGCTATCCAATAACTTTCTGTTATGCTGGAAATACTCAATATCTGCACTGTCCTAAGAGAGGAGAGGAAGAATCTGAAAAATGCAAAGAAAAGGGCTTGCAGAAATGACCGACTCAGCCAGTTAAAGTCCATTCCTAACTGCCCTCTCCCCTTTTCCAGTGCTTTCCAGCTAACATGTTTTCCCATAGCTACCTCCCCTATCCCAGGGACTCTCCAGGTCACATCTGTTAATTCACGGCTTGCCAACCAACTAATGTCCTTCCTTATCTCTGTAACTGTGTAGGAATAACAAGACTGTATAAAACTGCTTGTTATGTTACAATCAGGGCTCAGCCTTTGGATAGGAATCTGCTGAGCAGGTGCTGGCATTAATAAGTTGCTTCCCACTTATGGCCTCAATGTCCCGTCTCTCTGTTCGAGAATCCTCTAACAGTGCTGATAAGGACAAGGTCGTGGGTTCTGCAAAACAAATGACCTGTAAGACCAGTGGTCTGGAAATTCGCACCCCCATTTTGCAGCGCTCCCATCCAAAGCTCCCCCTCCCGATCCTGAGGAAGGAAGCACACATGAAACCTCAAAGGAATCAAGCGCCCCTTGCATAGATACTGCAGAGGTATATAAACTGTAATAAATCTAACCAAAGTGAGCTTGTCCGTGCATGGAGTTGTTAACCCCACGCGCTCCACTGGCCAATAAATTCTCCTTCCTCTAACAAAGTCGTCTGAACACCCAAAGTCGTCTGAACACCTTCATCAGGTGTCGCTTCCTGCAACAGTCCATCTGGGAGATGGAGAACTATTAAATTTTATTTAACTTTACTTTTCATTTTAATTTATATTTATATAGCCACATTTGGCTATTGGCCTGGATGGTTTAGCTGATCAAGCCAATATGTGCCCAAAGTTCACATGGACTAAATGAAAAAGAGTCATATGCCTTACTGAAAGCCAAAGAGTTACAAAATTCCCCTCCTTCTATCTCAAAAACTGGAAATAGTATTATTCTGGCAAGACTTTGTTCTCCATGAATCCATGTGGCTTTTTGTGATCACTATTCAAGAGATTTCAGACCATGTTTAATAAAAATCTTCGAAGAATTTTTCTAGGAATTAACCAGTCCAATATTTGTAGGAATTTTTCATCTTTATCACAAATGTTTTGGAGCATCAGTGGAGCATCACATATTCAATTTTTAATGCCTTTTTTATTTTCTTTTATTTTCTTTTATTTAATGCTTTTTGTATTTTCTATTGATTGCTATATTGTTTTGAAGGTTTGTTTGCTATTTTTTATTTTAGTACAAGTTTAGTTCTTTTTTTGTCTTTTGGTGGTCATCTTTATAATTAAGTGTATTTAAATCTCAATGTCATATTATCAACTAAAAAATGAGGAAATTAATATGTAGTCCCTTCCTTTTCTGTTATCTCCCTATTTATTTTTAATAGTATTAATTCAAATGTTTCTTTTGAATATTATCAATTCAAATATATTTTCTATCCTTCCAAATGAAAAACCACTTGCCTTGATAAAGATTATAGCAAGACAATACCTTAACAGTTTTACTTTCTGTTGTCTATAAACGAAACAGCATTTGCCTTAAGTAGACTTATCCCTTTCTTGTTCTTCATGTTCCCCAAATAATTTTAAAGGCCCTTTTAGTTATTTTAAATTTCAGAAGCCTCAGCTCAATCTAGTCTTTGGCTTTCTTAACTATTCTCACAGTTCTGTCCCTATCACTGATATACCTCTTTTTATAGTGGAAAGTACTTTACAAGGTCTACCTTACATGTCCTTTAAACTTTGGGCTCATAAAACTATTTTTGGTTATACAAGTCTCTACAGAGCTATTCTTCTTTATTCCATATTTTGATAACAAAAATTTTCTCTGAACTTTCTACTACGATCTCATTTTTAAACTAATATGTGCGAGACCCAGTTATCCAACATTTTCCAACTTGGCCATTATTGATTCTAAATTATGATCTCCTTTTCCAAGTTTACAACTACCTTTCAGTCATTTCTCATTTGTTAGCATCTAATCCAAAGTGAAATTCCCTTAGCTTTCTACCTTTGATATAATTATTGCTCATTTTAGATATTTCTTTTAACTGAATGAAGACCTTTACAGATATTCAGATGATTGAAATCCCTATCGCTATCATAACTATTTTCCTGTATCGCTTTGTAATCTCAGTCAGAAATATACCATCTATTTATTGGACCTGGTGGGGATAATTTTCAGTAAATATTAAGAATATCATTTTTCTCTTTGTTCACTCACCCAAATTTATTCTGTGCTCCAATAAATTTATGGATTTCTATACATATATGTTGATATGCACATCCAGAACTACACTTAATCTCTCTTCAAGATTTGTTTCCTTAGAACAAGTTTATGTGTTTCTATTGTCAGGCTCTGATTACACACAATGAAGAGTATATGATTTGAGTTGTATTTACGAAAGGTTATACACATACTATTTTTGCATTCTATATAGTAGCATGTTAAACCACCAGTACTATTTTAAATTACTATTCTTTATTACCTCTGTGCCCTTTTTATTGCTCTTCCCTCCTTCTCTGTTCATCTCTCCATGATATAACAGATACATCAAAAGTATCATTTTATATTTTTAACAAGGTATTGTTTTCCTTTCCTTCATTAACAATATAAAGAATTCTTAATCGAATTGACCTGGGTAATCAACCTTTGAGATTTACTATAGCTATAAGCCCATAATTCAAGTATCTTAAGCCATAATTCAGTTCAGAGTTGGCAAATAAATACCATGTGTGCTGCTCCTAGCAGCATGCCCACAGCAGATAGCTTATGTGACATGCCCAGAGACAGCTCCTTAATACAGCACTTTAAGCAGTTATTACCAGTTAATTGATTGTAGTTGGCACCAGAGATAAAAACTTCTTGGCCATCTTTTCTCCAGATAATTAAGTTCTACTCTCTGATTCCATCTACATGTAGTCTATCTTTTCTTTTGAAAACTGCCAACTTTGCCTTAATGATAAGTGAAAATACTACCAAATCCTTCAGTTGGCTGTTCAAGGTCTTAGTACTACCTAGGTCAGAAGCTCATATTCTTTTTTCTACTCCAACATAGCTGAAGAGTTTTACACATCAGTGATAGAGGCTGACAATTATAAGGATTCTTACACTAAATGAGAAGGGCATGGGAAATGGGGGGATAGAATGAAGGTCAGGTTTACCCAAGCCTACCAACCAACTGAAGAAACTGAGAACTAAAAAAAAAAGAGTCACTGTTAATGATGCTTTCTAGATTTCTCAGTCTCACTAGGTCTTATGGAACCAGCAGAGCTGGTAGATTTAGTAAGTATTATCAACTTATTTCTTCTACCCTGGCTACATAATCCAGGACAGCATATCTCTTCATCATGTCAAGTCAAGTCCACATGCTCATTTTAAAATAAAAGGAGATAAGAGCTATTATACTTCTTAGAATCAAGAAAATCTCATTTCTATCAACAGTCCAAAATGAATGCTGAATTTTAAAATGAAAGTTACTGGGAATTTATCTTTCAAAGCAACACTCAGAATAAAAACTCTACAAATCCAACTTGTCAACTGAAAGCATTACCTCCAGGTCTGTTTGCTTTTGTAGTTCTTGTATCATGGTCATAGTCTTATTGAAAGTAGCACAAATGCAGTTCTTAGTCTCTTTCTGCTCGACAGCAATTGGTTTAAAGCGTGCATACAACGTTTGATACCGAGACTTTATTGCTGACAATTCCTTTAAGAGTGTAACTGGATTTTTCTACATCAGGAAAAAAATGAATATGTATTAAATCATGGAAAAGAAAAATTAAGCTTCTCTTAATAATTAAAATATATACAACACATTCTACCATCCATTTAATCAAACACTGTATTTTATTATGCAACTGTATGAGAGAGGATGGAGAAAGGGAAGAAAGAGAAGTATAAGACCTAGATCCTATTCTCAAGGAATTTAAAGCCTAGGGACAGAAAATACCCCCCGATACTGAGACTTGAGGCTCCCCGCCCAGTGTCTGGCCCTGAGTCAACAGCTCACGAGCAAAGAAACCCCCCCCCCCCCCCCCCCCCCCCCACAAAGCTATATTAAACAGCAATAAGGTCACTTTAGATGTATAACATTTGATGCATAGTTCACAATAATTACATAGTATTTCTAAAATATAAATGCTATTCAGAAGATGATTAAAAGAACTATGTTAATTTTTTGTTAAAGAATAAGACAACTTGAAACCATTTATAAAAGTCTTAAACATAGTGATGAAGTTAAAATATATATAAATACCAATTCATTGACTTCACTATACAAAATACATGCCCACTCAAGCAACTATGTTTTATAAATTACATTAGTTTTTCAAATTCATTTTGGAATATTAATAAACACTATTCCATAAAAGACATTTCAGCTGGGTCCTTTATGCTACTTGGTAATTCCTTTCATTCTCTGACGGTTCCTTAGCAAACCCTACAATACTGGCTATTCCTAACTTTCTCCGCTCCCTCCAATTTCCACCCACTCCTTCCTGGCACCAATTACTTTACTGAGAAGGCAGAAAACATATTGTAGAAACTCCGTCTTCCTGGCTTTTCAACCCAAAATGAAAGTATCTATGAACATTCTCATCTATACTCAGCCCCTAACATGACCACTATTATTATTGTTTCCTCCACATCTTCCATAATCTTAAATTTCCTATATTTCAATAACCCTTTCACTTTCTCCCTTTACAGAGACTTCAAATATATATAGATCTTCCCTATACTGAGGCAAAAATTAACTCCTTCTCTTGACTCTTTTGCCACTCCAAAACCAGTTTCATTTTTCTCATTCCATTTGCCACCAACCTTCTAGTTCCTACAATATACTTCCTCAGTTTAACATACCCATAAAACAGTGTTCTTTGCCAAATTATTTTAAACAATTGAAAGGTCAGGTTTGCCCTACAGTATACAATTTTGATATCCCTCTTCTTGCCTTTCCTTATTTCCTCCCTGTTCCAAACTTCTTCAAATGAACTCTTGGTTTCCATAAAACTATACTAACCTTAATCAAAAGAGCATGGAACTGGCACAAAAACAGACACATAAATCAATGGAACAGAACAGAAAGCCCAGAAATAAATCCACACCTACATGGTCATTTAATGTATGACAAAGGACAAATAGTGTATGAGTCTACTTATATAATGTACTTAGAGTAGTCAAGTTCATAGAGACAAAAAGTAGAAGGTGGTTGCCAGGGGTTGGAGGGAGGGGGAGAATGGGGAGTTAAGTGTTTACTAGGTGCAGAGTTTCAGTTTGGGAAGATGAAGAAGTGCTGGAGATGGATGGTGGTGATGGCTGCACAACAGTGTAAATGTACTTAATACCACTAGACCATACACTTAAAATGGTTAAAATGGTAAATTTTAAGTTATATATATTTTACCACCAAAAAAAAAAAAAAAACAAAAACCCTAAAAATATAAAATGGTATAACCACTTTGGAAAACAATTTGGCAGTTTCTCAAAATATTAAATACAGGGTTAACATATAGCCAGCAATTCCACTCTTAGGTATATATCCAAGAGAAATGAAAGCAAATGTCCACTCGAAAACTTGTACATGAATGTTTTTAGCAGTATTATCATAATAGCCAAAAGGAGGAAACAACCAAAATGTCTATCAACTGATGAATAAGAAAATCTGGTATAGCTATACAATGAAATATTATTCCGCTATAAAAAAGAATTAAGTAATAATTTATGCTACAACATGGATGAACCTTTAAAACACGCTAAGTGAAAGAAACCACACACAAAAGGCAATATACTGTATGATTCCATTTATATGAAATATTCAGACAGTAAACCTGTAGAGATTGTAGCGATAGAAAGCAGATTAGTAGTTGCAGGAGATGGAAGGGTGCTGGGAGTATTGGAGAGTGCCTGCTAATGGGTATGAATTTCTTTGTGAGGTGATGAAAATTGTTCAAAAATTGATTGTGATGATGGCTGCACAACTCTGAATGTACTAAAAACCACGGAATGGTTTACTTTAAAAGGATGAATTTTATGGTAGGTGAATTTTAGCTCAATAAAGCTGTTTTTAAAACAAGTTGTAGAAGAGAAAAATAACTGGAAGTGGAACAAAGATGAGAGATGGAAGGTGGAGGAAAAGTGGGAGACCACATGAAATGTCTTCCACATAGAACTTGAAAGACACTGTCTCAGATGAGTGCTTTGGCCAGTCTTTAGGTGGTACCACTGCACCAGAATTAGTTGTTCTTCAGTCAGAGAGAAATGATAGAAAAGCAAAGAAAAAGCTAAGTCAGTTAAGGAGCTTTAATAGTTCTAGTAAGAAGCTGCAATGTTCAGTAAAAACTGAACATTCACGATGGTTTCCCAATTTTCTATTAAATGCTATTTTAATTTGCACTTCCATTCAATCAAAAAAAATTTTTAATTGTATAATTTTTTTTAAACTGTAAAATATATTTCTTGTCTGCTGGCAAGTGCTATAAAAAATAAATAGAAATGATTTAAGCAGTAAATTAATGTTAATAGATAATGCTTAAAAACTGTTTGCTTTCATCTCTTATGGGCATGTGTACATGTAGTTAAGGCATATAAAGTTACTATTTCTAATTAACCTAAACTTAGAATAAATAAGTACATAGATTTAGGTAAAAATCACAGTTCATATAACAATTTTACTAGTATATCATCTTCTTCTCAGAGAATACTATAACTGCTAGAATTTCTCCCCTTTTATTCAACCACTGCCCTAAAGGTATCTGTATTCTCTCAGAATTTCAAGCTTCCACAATGGTTCATATCTCTGGCCTCTGTAATTTTTGTTTAAGGGTTAAAAAAAAAAAGTAGCCACAAATTTCCTTGACTATGGGTATAGTAGTGTGCTCTAGTATGATATGACTAAGGTTCCAACACAAAAGATTTTAAGATTATATAAATTTAGTACTTAACAATGTAATTGTTATAATCTACTACTATTAGAAATACTATCAGAAAATCTTTTAATAAAATATTCTGTTAAGAGAGACATTTTGCAGATTACCTCGCCTGCTGAATCGGGATGATTAGCCTTGATTTCATATTCCAGCCTGTATTGAATGTAATCCAGATCAGAGTCAGCTTTCTGGAACTAAAAATCAGCACAGATCATTATTTTGTGAACCAAAAGACAAATTAATAAACATGATACAGTAACTATTCTTTCTCTTCTTTATATTTTTTTAGTATTTTAATAATGATATACACTTATTTTAAAAATATATAAATGATATACACTTATTTTGGAAATAGAAAAGTATAAAAAAAACTTCCATCTATAATACTCATGTTTTATTAAAATTTTAAAAACTAGTTAACATTTTGAAAATCATTTCTCTGTGCATCTTTTAGATTTTGAGCCAAAATTAAGATACCAAGAAGTCACTGTCATATATTCATACAAGAACTAACAAGGGCTTCAAGAATTCCCTAGGGTCACTGACACTCTCATTGGTTAGGCAGTGGTTTTCTATCTCTGGTAGGAAATGTGGTTTCAAGTTAAAACACAGAAGAAATTTATTTTCAGGTATACTCACAGTTTCCATTATCTGCAACCCCATTAATCAAGAACTAAAGATATATAACACTTGCAGACCCAGATTAGAGGATTTAAAGAGTAACAAATTATACAGGTAAAGCTACATACAGCACAGAAGTAGCAGTCTGAATAAAACCAATTTATTGAACCTGGATCCTAGTATGAGACCTTCATCTGCAGTAAATCTCTTAAGGCAGGAAAAAAGGGGCAAACTGCCACAGGCCTAAAATATATGTGTGTACATACAGAAAAGTTGGAAAGGATATATATCAGGGTGTTAAAAGTGATAGTTTATTTCTGAATGTAGTTAATCTATAAGCTATTCTTAATTTGGGGAAATTCTGCATCTTTACATGATCTTAAAGCAGGTACTGCCTTGAATTTATCAGGTTAACAACCATGAATTTACTATGGAAAGCAAAACATGATTTCCTCAGGAAAACTGCCTATGCCTAGCCCATGGTGAAGGAGAGTGCTCTGGGGAGAGGGTTCTGATCTTACTGTGAACTTAAGCTCTGAACGAAAGATTGGTTCTTGAAATCTTGAACCCTTAGTGGGAAGAGTAAAAGCCAACAAAAACGTAAAAGTGGTTCTCAGGTCTAATAAGAAATGGTGTACAGATATTTTCATTACATAAAAGGTAAACCAAGGGCTCTACTTCGGAATGTAAAGTTAGACAAAATGCTCTCAAAAGTTAAAACGCTTCTAAGGTCAGAAGCTGTCATTAGTAAACAGAATTTCGGAAAGTCCCATCACTAATTTCTATCATCATTGACCTAAATTTGAATAAAAATCTTTGCAATTACCAAAATTCTATCTTTATAACCAAAAACTTTTAGAGTAGAAATAAGAAGAAAAAGCCAGGTTTTTATTTTAAAAATGTTCCAAGAATCTCTAACAGCAGGGACTTGCTGTGAGCCAGAAAAACAAATGTAGAAGTTCTTAATTTTAAAAATGTAGTTAAAGTGTTTTCCAAAAAAAGGAGGCTTTTCATTTGCCTTATATACTTGTTAGATTAGATTAATCTAAATAATCAATAATTAGACTTCATGAACGTACTAATAATCAC